CTCATATTTATTAGCAGTCAATCCCCATTTCCTAGCTCTAGGAACAGCTAACCCTAGCCCTAGGAAACAGCTATTCTACTCTGTCCCTATAGATTTGCCTATTCTAGACATTTCATATAAATGGAATTATATAACATGCGGTCCTTTGTGACTGCCTTCTATTAATGAAAACATTATTCTTAGCATTTGTTTTCAAGGTCCATCCATGTTCTAACACACATATCAGTACTTCATTCCTTTTCCTTGCTGAATGATACTCTATCGTATGGACAAACTACATTTTATTTATATATTCATCAAATAATGGACCTTTGGGTTGTTTCTGCTTTTGGGTTATCATGAATAATGCTGCTGTGAACATCCATGTACAAGTTGTATTTGAATTTTATGTAAATCAAATCATATTTTATATATTATTCTGTGACTCATTTTTGACCGTACATCAGGGTTTTTTGAGATTCATCCAAGTTGTTGACTGAAGCTAGGATTCATTATTTTCACACAGTAATATGTTATATGATTATACAATAATAGATGTATCTATTCTACTTCGATAGATATTTGGGTTGTCTTAGTTTTTTCTATTCCAACGAATACTTCCATAAATATTCTTGTAAAGTCTCCTGGTCCACAGAAGATAATTTTTTTTACCATAACCTTCAGGGAGAAATCCACTGGATATCATGGTATAGTACAAATATATAACTGAGACAAAGTGTTCCTAAAGCAATACTTAGTTATTCTAACCACATGCAATGTACACTGATACTTTCTCTTCTATTTCAAATAATTCATTTTTAAAAACTGGGCCCAAGTCACTCAATTTATTTCACAACCTCTAAGGATCCTGGCCCTCCATTTGAAAAATACCACTCTAGGCTATGTATGAGGGCACAGGATCACCAAATCATAGGATTTGTGCATCTTTCCTTTGTTCTACATTTTGGCCAACTCTTGGCTTTTGTTACCAATCTCATGAGTATTTTATGGTATCCTCCTGTCTCAATTTACATTTTCTCCTTCCACCAATATAGTTGAGTACCAATTCATGTTTGCTAGCCATTTATATCCTTTTTAAATTTATTCTCATTTTTTTTCTATAGAGTGTTTTGTTTCATTTCTTAATTGGTTTTTAGGAGTTCTTTATATATTCTGGATGTGAATCCTTTCTTTCACTTATGTATCACAGATGCCTTCTCCAAGTCGATGGCTTTTTTTCCGCACACTATCTTTGTGTCAGAAATTCTTAATTGAAATATAGTCAAATGTAGCAAACGTTTTTCATGTAGTTGGTATTTTTTGTGTTTTACTTAGGAAATCCTTTTCTATCTTGGGGGTTTGTAAAAATTCTTTTACATTTCCTCCTAAAATCTTCACTTATTTGGATTTCACTTTAAGCCTTTAAGATATCCGGAATTGATTTTGTTTATAGTGCAATTAGGAATCCAAATATATATATATATATATATATAGTTCTTCAACTTCTCCCCACATCTACAACATCATCTCTGTCCATATTTGTATGACTCTGTATTTGGTTCCATTGGTTTGTTTATCTATCACATATCTGTACCAATATCACATACTCTTAATTATAGGCCTTTATAATAAGTTCCCTCTACTTGTTCATCAGAAGGGTCTTCATTATTATTGGCCCTTTTATGCCCACATTTCAGAAGCAGCTTATCAGATATTAGGGAAATCCCTGTTGGGATTGTGATTAGAGTTGTTAGAATTTATAGATTAATTTAGGGGGAATTACCACCTTTACAATACTGAATCTTTCTCTCCAGAAGTATAATATGTCTGTCCATTTATTTAGGTCTTCTCTAATGATCTTCAATAACACTTACAAAGTGTTGCTCCTCTTTATCCTTGGTACCTTATTTTTATTGTTGTTTTTGTTCCAAATGGAAGCAGTATTTTAAAAATAAATATACTATATCCTGATTTTGTAAGTGAGGGGTTTAGATTGTACTCTTAAATTTATGAGAAACTGGGGATATTTTGGATCATTCTAAATTCTTTTCTATATAATAGCAGTTCCTCATATATGCTCATACACATGAATGATAAAATATAACATTCTAAATATTTTACTAAAGGTATAAACATCTCACGTATTCTCCTCAAAATACAGAGAATGGGAAAATTGTATGCTTTATGTGCAAAAGAAGGAACAAAATATGTATGAGCATTCTTACAACCAGTGTATTAAAAGCTGATCCAGAATGCTAGCCTCCATTTTTCAGCTTGAGATCATTGTCTTATACGATGCTGTGTAAGAAGCTTTTTCTTTTTAAAACACTAAAAATTCACATCACAATTCAAAGTTCATTTTTTCCCTTGAGACTCTAGTTGAATTAAAATGTCTCTGCCTAGACATTAAAGGTTTTTTTTTAATAGGAATAAAATGGTCTGGCTCAGATATCAAAATGGGTAATCAGTAGAGCAAGTGCCAGATTACATTGAATTTTTATCTCATTCAGTATACTCAAGGAGAATTTTATTTGTTGTTACTTACCTAGCTTTTTCCTAACCACTTAATTTCTCTAAAACAGTGAACTATTGAAGCATTTATAAAAGGAAAAATTCTTCAGTCTGTGAGAAGCCAAAACTCTAACCAGTTCTCTGGTGGATTTCACTCTAGATGGCCACAATATTCATTTTGAGTCTACACTTTAAACACTAAGTTTAGGTTTCCCCAAATCCTTTGGTTTCTGTCTTAGGCACTCCCAATCACCAAGAATTATTTATGTTTTCATTGTTTAAAATGGAAGCCAAGATACTGTCCACTTTCAGTCTTCAACTCTTTTGTACTGGACAATGACATTAAAAGTCAGAATCATGCTTAAATGTATCATGCTTTTTCTAAGGTATAGAACTTCATTTATTTGCCAAAGGGTAGCATTAGCCTGTTGCTTTTTTAGTCTACGGTTCTTTCTGCATCCTTCTGGATTCCTTAACTCCCCTTTTCCCTTAAGCTTAAGCTGAAGGGAAACATCTTCCCCTGAAGATGTTTGAGTGTTGTTCATATGTACCTAATTCCACTGGATCTCCTTACTGATTTATAAAATTTCCCCTCTACTCATATTAGGTTTAAATGTATCATGCTTTTTCTAGGGTATAGAACTTCATTTATTTGCCAAAGGGTAGCATTAGCCTGTTGCTTTTTTAGTCTATGGTTCTTTCTGCATCCTTCTGGAATCCTTAACTCCCCTTTTCCCTTAGCTTAAGCTGAAGGGAAACACCTTCCCCTGAAGATGTTTGAGCCTTGTTCACATGTACCTAATTCCACTGGATCTCCTTACTGATTTATAAAATTTCCCCTCTACTCATATTAGGAACAAAATGTTAATGCTTCTATAAATACCATCATTGGAACTCATTGGGAACTTTAGGAGTCAGAGAGATTTATTTACTTCTAATTACTTGAATTAGTGTCGCTGTTCAGTGCTTCAGGGAGTCTACTAATTTCAGTGTCCTTTGCTTCTTTGGGGGTTAGCAGCTGCTTTGTGGAAATAAAGTTTAACGGCTTCATTCAAATGAAATACATTCTGGGGCAATTTACGAATCTTCATGTGTGGTTTTCCCTCACATCAAGAATAGATGCACTTCCTTTCCCTGTATGGAAGGCACTGCTTTCTTTTTTCTTTTTCCCTCCCATACTTACCCCCTCCCCCCCCCCCCCCCCCCCGCCCATGCGTTCAAACTTTTCATGTGGCTTTTAACAAGTTGACCTCAGTGGGGACTTCGCCATGTTTCTTTTGCTTGTTATTCATGTAGCATTTTGTACCTGCAAGTTTCTCTTTCATCAAATTTGGGGCAATTTTTTATTTCTTCAATTTTTTTCCTACCCCATTGTCTTTCTTTTCTCCTTCTGGTATTCCATTTACATGTATGTTGGCTTGTTTGATGTCATGCAGCAGGTCTCTGAGGTTCTGTCCATTTTTTAAAATGATTTTTCTGTTTGTTGTTTATCTTGGATGATTTCTTGATTACTCTACCTTCAAATTCACTTAATTTTTCCTCTGTAATTTCCATTTGGCTGTTAAATCCACCCAGTGAAGTTTGTTTTTTTATTTCTGAAATTTTAATCTTTCAGAATTTACGTTTGCTCTTTTTTCTTTTTCTCTCATGAGATTTCTGTCTCCTGAGATTTTCAACTACTCAAAACATGTTTTGTTTTAATTTATTGAGGAGAGTTAAAATAGTTCAAAATCCTTATCGGTCGGTTTCAGGGTCAAAGTAAAAAAAAAATGTGACCCATTTTCTCGACATTTTGAATCATAGCTTGGATTTTTATGAATAAGTTGTAGAGGTTCTGGATTCTATTGCCTAAATGCTTCAAATGTCCTACTCTGCCTCTCTGAAACTCCTCCTCCTTGGTTTCCAGGTCACACGCTCAGGAGGGTTTGCATCTTACTTTTCTGACCGCTCATTCAATAAGTCGCGTTTACTCTTGCTCCTCTAAACCTGAAACGTGGGTCCGGCCTAAAAACATGGTTCTCGGCAGTCTGGTCTTTCTTCTTTCCACTTTCTTCTACAGAGATCTCATCGACTTCCACACTTGAAAACTCACCCGACAGGGAACGGAACGAGGCTTTTCTTGTTACCAGGAATTGGAGACCCGGAGTCAAGGCTGACGGCTCAGAGGCCTTCAGTATTTCCCACTCTCTCAACGGGGCTGCAAACAGCACCGATGGGAGGAGCATTGAGGGCTTCTGAGCTAAGGGTACTCGAACTTTCTTCCCCCTGGTGTCTGTCCAGATGTGAATAAACGCCGAGCGAAACCGGAGCGTGTAGGCTCAGGTTCGAGCTATGTCTGTCAGAGGGAGGAGCTCCTCTCGCTTTCCTCCGGGTGTGTGCGGCCCTCAGCACGCAGGCGGCGCGCGCGGGGGAAGCGGAACCCGGACGCGCGTGCCCCTGCTTCTGGCCGGGCGCGGGCCGTGGTGCAACACCGGCTCGCCCGGCACCACCCGCTCGCCGCCCTGCCCGGCATGGCGGAGCGCGGCGATTCCGAGCCCACCCCGGGTTGCAGCGGTCTGGGCCCGGGCGGCGTTCTCGGCGGCGGCGGCGGCGGCGCCCACTCATGGGCCCCGGAGGACGCTTGGATGGGCACCCACCCAAAGGTCAGAAGGCGCGAGAGGAGCAGGGCGCCGATCCGGGGCCCTCCCCCAGGGGGAAGGCCGCCGCCGTCCCCTCGGCCCTCGCCTCCCTGCGGGGCCGGGTCGCAGAGTTTGCGCGCGAACCTCACGGAAGGGGACCCGCGTGCACACCGCCCGTGGCGAGCAGTCTTGGTTTTGTTTGTTTAGATGAGGTGAACTATTGTTCTGACAGCCCCCCCCAGCCCAGCCCCGGACACACACACCCATCCAAGCCTTTCCAGAGCAGGACATTAAACCGAGCGCCTCTCCGGGCAGAGCCCAATAATAACCATTGCACCAATTTCTGAGTTTTGCTGTCTAAGGCATTTAATCCTCGCAGTAACCAAGTAACCACAGTACCCACAGCAAAAAACAGCTTGCGGGCCTTGGTTAGATAAAAAGATCAAGGCTTAAGCACAGCCACGTTTGCACTTAGCCTTGAGCCCAGAGTGTGCGTTGTGATTTTGCCGAAGTGCAATTTCCTGACTTTTCTCATTTCTTGTAAAGTTTGAATAGGTTCTTCTTCAAAGCAGACATTTGGGTGTTTTTTGTTTGTTTGTTTGCTTTTTGGGTTTTTTTGTACAGCAGCAAAGAGGTATAGTTCCTTTGCTTGCTTCTGCTTGGCAAATTGCTGCCTTGGACCAGTAATGTCCCAAGCAATGAATGGACAGTGAATGGAGATGGGGGTTTTGTAGGAATCTCAGAGACTGGTCTAGTTATTTTAGTTCGGTTGCAGTCTTCTGCGAAGCAGTATTTCATAGATCATTATCTAAAAACAGTCAAGAAAAGAAAAATTTCGAAGATGTAAGTCTGAAAAGAGCCAATCCCTTTTCATGTTCTCTTTCTTGATTTTATTCTCCTCCTCTATCTCCTCATTCCCCGTCAAGGTGAGAAAAACAAGCATGGATATGTTACTCGGTGCCATAAAAAAGAACTAGAACACCATTAAGTAGCATGAACCCAATAGTTCTGCGTGAGACTTTAAGTAGACTGCTTGAGTTTGAAAACCCTGTTAGGTCACTAGCTTTGTGGGTTGTTTTTTTTTTTTGGAAGTTTAAAAAAATCTCTTTGTTCCTCAGTTTCCTCATCTGTAAAATAGGGATAATAATAGTACTTACCTTAGAGGGTTGTTACAGGATTAAATCAGTTAATATTTGTAAAACATTTGACATATAGTAAGCACTATATAATGTATATATATAAAATATATATAGTATGCAACATTAATTTCATTATTCTCATGCTTAGAAATCCTCAGTATTTCTTTATGGGTAAAATTCAGACTTTTAGCTTGACTATCAAGACCTTGCAATCTGGTCTCCAGTTACCATTTACTTTCAGTGTCATTTTCAAACACATTTGTAGTGTGAACCTCTTCACACTACAACTAATAATACCCCGTTCTCCTGCACCTGTCCATACTTATGATGAAGCTAGTGGGAGAATATGACCGCAGGTCTGTACCTATGCAGGTCTGCTAATGCCTCACCTCTGCATTAGGCCTGCTTACCCACTGAGTCACTGGGATAGCTGGAAAACCTCAGGCTTCCCTTGCAGAGGTAGTCCACTGAAGAATGTTCTCCAGTGCTAACCAGCAAGTCTGAAAGAAGTCGGGAGTGGTTTTTTAGCGGACTTTCTTCACAGGCAAACAGAGACCTTGGAAATAGTGGCTCTCAGTAATGTGCTGCAGTAGAAATCCTATTAAAATATGTCTGTACTCCTGGCAGATAGATTTCTTTATAGGTCCTTGAATATGTGTGTATTCCCACCTATGTGTGATTACTCACACTGTTACCCAGCCTTCTGTATTTACTCAAATCATATCTGCCGTTCAGAGCCCAATCTGTATCCACCTCTGCCATGAAACATTGACCAACCAAGCCATCCAAGTAGAGCTCCTCTGACTTGTTGTCTCATGTTTTTAGAGATGGGGATCAGGTATTGCTTTCTAACTCCCACAGTACCTAGAAGAGAGTCTTCTACATATATATATATATATATATATTTTTTTTTAATGAGTAGTTGTTGATTGAGTGAAAAAAAATATTAAGAGATTCTTCCTTCTCTGACAATTACATTTTGATTTCCAGTATTTAGAAATGATGGAATTAGATATAGGAGATGCCAGCCAAGTTTACATAGCATTCTTGGTTTACCTGGACCTCATGGAGAGTAAGTTATTTATTTTATTGTTCTGTTGTTGGGGCTCTGGTGGGGGGATGGGGAGTTGGGTTGGGATATAGTATTTAAGCATTTTCTGTTAATTTTGTCAGTTTTGTAATTTCTTCATTTACATTGGGAATTACTGGGTAACAGAAAATACTAGAAAAGTGAAGAGAAGATAATATTCTGGATGATGTTTGCTCAGCAGAGTATTAGGTAGAAATTTAGAATTTTATCTTTTATTTTGATAAACATTGTCCATTCAATGATGCACTTTTAGGTAAAAGTTGGCATGAAGTAAATTGTGTTGGATTACCAGATCTCCAGCTCATCTGCCTTGTCGGTACTGAGATAGAAGGAGAAGGATTACAGACTGTGGTGCCTACACCCATCAGTGCTTCCCTCAGCCATAACAGGTGGGCAGGTGATTTTGGTCTTTAACATGTTAGTTCCTTTCCACTAGGAATCATTAAATTTGGGGCAGTAATATATTTTTAAAGGAATATAGGGTACAGGGATCATAGCTTTACTCTTGGTTATTTGAGGAATAAGTTAAATATGAGCACTTAACAAGTATTTAGCACTTACTGTATTGTCAGTATTTTTTCAGAGAAGGAATATATATGATAGAAATACTATATTAAGGGAACAGAAAATGTTTTCATTCTTATAAGTAGGCAAGACCATTATACTTGAAACACAGGTATTTTAAGATGTACCATAATAATTGATACAAATTATATTTGCTATAGATATTGGTGAAGAGTGTGCTTAACATGCAAGTTGAAATCAAAGAAAGTGTCATGCAGTTCATGGGATCTTTTTAAAAAAATCTTAGCTACACAGAATTGGATTAAACATATCTTTATTTCATGACACACTCTACAAATCAACCTCACAAAACAAAACTAGATTCTTGGCAGTAACTTATATCTAACTATATGGGTCCCCTCCTTTGCTTCCACTGTCCATATTCATTGGAATTGTTTAATTTTAGATCTTTTTAACTTTATAAAGAGCATATAATCTTTTGACACTGACTTTATACACTCAGTATTATATTGCTGAGATTCGTCCATTGTGTATTTGGTTTTGGCTGCCATATCATATTCCATCGTGTGATTGTACCCTAGTTTTCACATCCGCTTTCCTGTTGATGGAGAGTTGCTAATGTTTGACTTTAGGGGATAATTTCAAAGTATTTTCCAAAGTGGTTGCCTCACTTGACTTTCCACTTGCAGTGTAAACAAGATCTCTTGAAGTTGTATTGTTTCTGACATTTAGTACTGTAAGACTTTAAAATTTTTGTCAGTTGAATACGTTATCTCATGGTGGTCTTAATTTGTATTTTTCTGATCTCTGATATATTGAACATTTCTTTATATATTTATCGTTTCCTCTCTTGAGAAATTTCTGTTCATATCCTTTGCCTATTGGATTGTTTGCAGTTTTCTCATTGACTTGTAGGAGTTCTTTATATATTCTTGACAATAATTCTTTTGGTTGTGTTTCCCAGTTCTTAAATCTGTTTTAAGTACTTTTTGATGATAATAGTTTTTAATTTGAATATAATCATATCTGTACATTTTTATAATCAATGTCTTTGTGTCTAGGTTAAAAACTATTTCCTATCAAAAGGTCTAAGGAAAACTCACCTATGTTTTCACTAAGAGTTTTAAAGTTATTTTTTTTTTCATAGTGTGAGAAGGTTAGGGACCTTGTTTTCATGTAGATAATCATTTTTTTCTACTTGCATTTGCTGAATAGTCTCCTCTTTCCTCATTATGTGACATATCACCTCTGTCATTTTCCAAAGCTCCATCTGTGCATTGACTTGCTTCTGAGCTCTCTTTATATTCCATGAGTCAATATATCTATCCTTGTGCCACTATCACATTTTCTTAATTCCTGCTTCAGAAGAAGTCCTGATATCCCTGGTATCTGGCTATCAAGTCATCTTTTCTGCTTTTCTTCTTTGAAGCTGTAGCAGGCAGCCTCTAAGATGGCTTCTTGGACTCCAGCCTTCTGGTAGTACCACCCTTGTGTAATTCCCTTTCCTTGAGTGTAGTCTGTACTTGCTGACTTGCTTTTAACAAATAAAATGAGGCAAAAATGATGGGATGTTCCTTCTAAGATGACATTACAAAATACTATGGCTTCTGTCTTGGGTACTGTCTCTCACTTGCTTGTTCTGAGGAAAGCCAGCTGCTCTGTAAACTGTCATTTAGAATGGCTGAAAATAGAGGAGTAAAAGTAACTATTGATGGAGCAAGATTCTTGAGAGATGGGGAGGGGTGGATTCCAGAAAATAGTTGAAAAGATTAATATTGAGCTAAAGGAGGAGGATCTCAACTTCTGAGATTGTGAGGCAGTTAAGAAAGGACAGATGAAAACAGAGCTATATTTGGATGGGTAAATGCGTATAGAAGAGAGCAGAGTACCTTAAATTCCAACATGAAGGGCTTTAATGAATACCTTTGTTTTTCTCATTTACTGTGATTGAAGTAAAAGAGCACTGGGCTGAAGCCTTAAGACCTGGGTTCTGATCTTGGTACTGACACTTAACATTTTGTTTGATGATTGGTGGTGACACACCTCATTTCTCTGGGTTTCAGTTTCTTTGTCCTTCATTGAGGGATTTGGATTGTCAGTGGATAATATGTAAGATCCTCTCCAAATCAAAGCTACCATAATTCGTTCTTTTCTTTTTTTTTAAGATTTTTTTTTAAATTTATTTATTTGACAGACAGAGACACAGTGAGAGAGGGAACACAAGCAGGGGGAGTGGGAGAGGGAGAAGCAGGCTTCCCGCCGAGCAGGGAGCCCAATGCGGGGCTCGATCCCAGGACCCTGGGATCATGACCTGAGCCGAAGGCAGACGCTTAACGAATGAGCCACCCAGGCGCCCCATAATTCATTATTTTCAATAGTGTATCCCATAAAACTATATTAAACTAATTTTTAGATTTCTGTTAATATTTTTGGTACAATTTTGTATAACTCATTATAAGAATTTTTTTTCGATATATCAGGCTAGTCATACTCTGAGAGGCTCTTTACTGTGAGATTTTTCTGTGTTTCAGAATCACAAATAGTGGATAGAGTTGACATCAAATTTGATCACTGATACTTTCTGTTTTTTACTAGCATGAGTTCCAAGCCTCTGTATGTCTGAAAGACTTAATAATTCATTCATTAAAACTCCCCCTTTGTGTCTTTTAGTTACTGCAACAAATATCATACCAGTTTACTATTATTGTTATACTATTTGTTGGGAATAGGAACTACCATTTGGAATTAACCTGAATTTAATCCTAAAAAATAAAATCGGTAGTCTATTTGAATCAAAATGATTCATAAGTCTAGAGGTAGAAATTTAAGTCCTATTACTTTCTAGTTTTTTCCAATTGGCGATTATTGATTTTCCAGCCTTATTACATAAAGCTTGTTTTCCTCTTTAAATAGAATTAGTTGGGAGGATAAATTAGTAAGCCATTTTTACCCTCTTGCATTTAATAACTCAGAGGGCTTATATCTTTGTAGCTTGCTTTTTATATAAATATTCATAATTATATTATGCAGTGGAATAATAATATAGAAAATAGCACAAATGAGGCCCAATACCCAGTAGATTTATTATGCCATTTATGGCATAAAATTTTCTCAACTCAAAGTATGCAAATAACTTTTTAACAAATAAATACTGTGTGTGTGTGTGTGTGTGTGTGAATGAGAAAGTGTGTATTTAATTTCATTCCTCAGTCTTTAACAGGAGTGATATTTTTAGGTAGTAGGCATACTTTTATCTATTTTTGCCTCCATGCATGTTTTGTATATAAAATGTTATATATCTAACAGATATATGATTTCAGACATTTGTTTGTTAATGTAGGAATTTTCCTTCATTAGTAACACAGAGAAGAAAATGGTTGACTTTGAATCTTTGGCAGCCTTGCATAGGGAAGAAATTCATGTCCTAAAAGTATTTGGGTAGGACTTTGTGAGGTTAGTTCACCAAATAAGTAACTAAATGAATAAATAGAATGTTTTATATAAGAAAGCTAACAGCTTACTTTATTCAGTAATAAATCATCTACAAAAATAAATCACTGTGTTCACTTTTAAACAGCGTTTTTTTCTCAGATAATATTGTTGAGGCTTTTTAGTCTTTACTTAGCAAATATTTATTGAGTGACTATCATGTGTCAGGCAGTGATCTAAGTGTGGGGATACCATGTTGATCGAGACTACTCTCTTTTTTGGTGTCAGTGACATACGACATTATATTAGGTTTCAGGTGTACAATAAAATGATTTGGTATTTGTATATATTGTGAAATGATCATCACGAGAAGCCTAGTTAAGATCTGTCACCATACGTAGTTACAGAATTTGTTTTCTTGTGATGAGAGCTTTTAAGATCTACTTTCTTAATCACTTTCATGTATGCAATACAGTGTTATTAACTGTAGTTGCCATGCTATATATTATATTCCCATAATTTATTTATTTTATAACTGGAAGTTTGTGCCTTTTGCCTCCTTCAACCCATTTTGTCCGCTCCCCAGCCCCTGCCTTTGACAGCCACCAATCTGTTCTCTGTTATCTATGAACACTTTTTTTTTTTTTTTAGGATTCCAGGTATAAATGAGATCATATGGTATTTAAGGCAGCCTCTTGAAAATAGTGTTCTGATACTAAATGTTGGCTTGGAAAATAAATTTTATTTCATTTTTTGGTAATTGTTGGATGGGATCTAATAAAAACAGAATTCTCCTTTGTTCTGAGACTTAATAACTGTGTAATTTGGGACTGCCTCCACTTATTTGATTGTTAGGTAATTGAATAAAAAGGACAATGGAGTACTGATAAGTACTTTATAGAAGGTTGCTGCAAGACCCAGAGGAAGGACAGGAAGAATCTCCTGTAGGTGGTAGGAGACTGTTTTAGCAGGACAACTGCAAGTAGTTAAGCATGATTGCCTGCCTATAAGTATGGTGTCTAGTTCAGAGCAGGTGCTTTATAATGTTGGGTAAGGCAGCTAATGAATAAATGAGTATATAGAACTCATGAGGAAATAGGGAAGGATGGGAAGTGAGGTGGGAAAGGTTACCTCGATCATGAAGGCCATCACTGATTTCAGTGTTTTGCTATTAAAAATTATACTGTAATGAATAACCTTGTAAGTATATCTTTGTTCTCATGTATGACAGCTTCTCTAGGGTGGAAGTCTAGAGGTGGAATGGCTGGGACTTCAAGCATCTACACCTTCCTCTTTACTGGTTCTTACTAAATTGCTCAATGAATAGTTATCAGTTTATAGTCTCACAATATGTAAGTTTTCAGAGTAGGAGAAGAGATTTACTGACCTATAACTGACAAAGATTAATTCCTAGTATATACATAACTTCTGTGAC